AGTCACAGAAGCTATATTGATAAGCTTCTGTTTACTTATGAAGCGGACCCGAGTGATGTATTTCAGAAAAATACATTATTTCCTTAACCCCTCAAGTCAGGTCCTTTGTCCACTGCTCCACACTCTGACCCCTGTCTCCCCAAGGCTGTGCAAGTTACTGCTTTCTTGTTCCTCATTTTTGCATGCTTATGATCTTTCCCCTGACAACCATTCCAAAGTACTACAGCATACTTCCTGCTGCTCTAGACTAAAACATTAATCCAACAATTTTTATCCATGCCTGCATGTAACCTAGTATCCTCCGGTATTGGTGGTGCAGAACTCTTACAGAAATTACAAAAGCAAGCTCAGCTCTTGTCTTTATACACTGTTCAATCAATTTGTAGCTAGTAATTGCAATAAATCTAATTCAGGGCTTCTGTGTGCAGAAGCAACACTGCCATAAGAAAAAGCACTCGGCTTCTGAGCAGATGACCACAGTTTGACAAGCTCCCTTCCTTAATTAGCCTTCACTTTTCAGCTGACTCTCCAATACCATCAGTTCTTAACTAGAAAAGTGTTGCTGCAGATAGGTACTTTGTTTGAAGGGACAAAATGAGCCCCTCCACCTAGATATCATAAGGAATTGAGTGGGGAGAGCTACAACTCCAGCTTATTACTCCTGTTTATGCAGGATCACTCATTGATCACGTGCTTTCTTTATCCAAAAGATGAAAGAATTACTTGTATTAGGGAAGAATCTTTGTGAAGTACAGGTGTCTGAAACAGGACTTGCATCAACTACAGGTTCATTCTGCAGAGCAGGACCCTGAACCAGAGCCTCAGATCCTTGAGCATCTCAGTGAGGAAAGTTTCACGACCTGAAGGCATCTTTGACATCTAATGCCCACCAGAACTGGGTCACCAAGGCTTAAAAGCAAGCCTAAGAGGCTGGTCAGCTGAATATGAAACAGTGGTATTTCAGCACACAAAGTTAGGAGTTGCTCTAAGGATTTATTAAACCAGCTTGACTGCAGCATCCTCTTGGCTGATGCATGCCAGGAGATCAGCATCTGCTACATCCTAGTTAATCTTCCACAACTGGTTTTAAAATTCTACCACTGTCTGGGAGTTGCGCTTCCAGAGTTGAAGGCTGTGCTTTTAAGACTGGAAGTTAGAGCCTTCATTTCCTTTGTAACTTGGGGTATTTTAGCTCTGTTTGCCGACTCAGTTTCCTCCAGGGAGGAAAAGAGGAAGCTTCTGTCTTGCAAAAAGGAGTAGGACTGTAAAGATCCAAGTGTTTTTTCAAATCCTATTACCTCAGTTAAATTAATTTTGAAACGGTGTAATTGACAGCCTCCAAGCAAAACAAAAGCACTCTAGGAGATCTGCAGATCTCATCAGAGCCCAAACATGACAAAAGGACTCCCAGCAGCAAGCGACCAGGAGGCTGCAGTACAGCATT